TGAGCTCAGCTCATGGCCCTTCTACTTCCCTGGCTATTGCCGGGAAGCGTGGGGCGTCCTGATCGTTCTGATCAAAAACGTCTACGGCGTCCTGGTAATCTTGCCGAAGTGGCGTCTCAAACTTTCATGAGCATTTCGGAGTCGGGATATTCCCGCCACTTCACCAGATATTATGTATGACCCTGGTGACGACGTCGTCTCACTAGACGTTCCACGTGATAGTGGACGTCACCGTTTTCATCGAGAAGCGTTGGTGGCGGGCAGTGACGAACAGGTCGACCGCCGCCTGGTGACTCGCGATGCTCTTCGAGACCTTGAGAGCGAGGTCCGTCGTGATCGGAGCTCCACTGAGCGTCATGCTGAAGTAGCATATCGCTGTGCGGATGCTCTTGCGAATTTGAAGCACGTCGTGCGCCGGCTGCCTCACCTTGAGGTCTACCGCGCTCTGTCGGAGTCACTCCTAGCTGTGGATCAGGCGAATGCGTAGTTGCATGCGACGGTGGAGCGCTATGCGCCATTGGAAATGGAGGTTGTTGCACTCCGTGCTCAGAACCAGTTGCTGGCTCAGTTTCTGGGTGTCCGAGGGCCCTTAAGATTTGCTCTGGCGCCAACGCTTCCGCGTTCACATGCACCGAATCCCGATACGGCTTGAGCAAACCCACGCAAATCACCGGGTGGGTGCACATCCATTTGGGAAGTGTTAGCATATACGCTAGGCCCTGCTTGACCACAACCTTAAACGTCCAGTAAGCCGTGGACAAAGCTTCCCCCCGGAAGATAGCAGAGGCTGCATGTGTAGAAGGTTTTTAGAATCAAATTTAACCAGGGATCCGACATTAAAGCTTTCCACCTTGCCTCTTTCTTTTTCATCTGCAAATTCTTTCTGCAGGTCTTGGCTTTCAGCTATCGCATCGCGAACGTGTCGTAGGACACTCAGTCTGATAGACTAGAAGTCATCGAATTCTTTGCCGATGGTGAGGGAGCTGACATCAGCTAGCCGTTTGGATTAATTTCCAACCAAGCCCTGAGCTATGGGATGGCGGCGTCAGCGGGACGCGAGGGTGTATCAGCCCGTTCACGTAGAACGAAGTGTTGCGTGTAGGCGAATGCACTGCATTGTTCAGCGCAAACTCTACATGTGGCAACATGGTGCTCCAGCGCCTAGGCATCTCAGCACAGACGCTGCGAAGAGCGTCTTTGATGGCGCGATTTACTCTTTCAGTTTCACCATCGATCTGCGGATGATCCGATGTCGACATATCAGCTTGGAGCCTAGCACCTAGTGAAGGTCGACCAAATTTTCCCGTGAAACGGGGGCCTCTATCAGAGACAATCGACTCAGGGAGTCCGTGTTGTCGGAAAACACTACCACGAACAGCATTGCTGTACCGACTCTGTCGATGGTGTTTGGCACCACCGCCAAAAGAGCCATCTTGCTCAGCCGGTCGACAAATACCACGACACCTGTGTTGCCCGCCGAATCTTTCGGCAGGCCAAACACAAAGTCCAAGCTCATGGACAGCCAGCGCCCAGTGGGTACCGGTAAGCTAGTCAGAGGCGCAGCCGTATTTGGAGCGGGTTTTACCCGTTGACACGTCTCACACGTGCACAAATAGGTGCTCGTCTATTTGTAAACTTGGGCTACCAATAGTGGTGGCTCACAGAAGAGTTGTTTCTTCTGTCACGACCGAGATGACCACTGAGTGGCGTGTCGTGAGCCTCATAGAGGATGCGGTATTTCAAATCCTCATCATGAGAAACCACAATTCGTAGTGTATCCGTTGAATCGGTGCTAAGTATAGCAACCCGTTATTCAGCGAATATCGGTGCAATCGTGCACGCAGTCTTTGTGGCCGTTATCTTGTCCGAGTTTCCATACTCCCTCCTTCCTTGAGCTCGTAGCAACGCTACACACACATCATCACCCGCATTCGCAGTGCAAATCAAATCTGTCACAGACAACGTTACAGTTGTAACATGAGCAAGCTCATAGTCTGGTCTGCGAGACAACGCGTCAGCCAAAGCATTCTGATTTCCCGGCTTATACTTCACCTCGAAGTTATATTCCGTAAATAAGGATAACCATCTAGCCAACCTCTGCGAGAGGTGGGGCGACTGAGTCGCAGTGCGTAATGACGCATGATCTGCGTAGATCACAAACGGCTTGGAGCCGAGCATGTGGACCCTGAACTTGACAAGTGCATACTTCATCGCAAGTAGCTTCTTGTCATGAGCTGATTCGTTCTTCTCCACAGCTTTGGGCTGTCGAGATTCGAACGCTATCACCCGATCTCGCCCATTGGCGTCTGCTTGCAGTAGTGCACAGCCGATGGCAAAGTCCGAAGCGTCACAGACGACGCTCAAGAACGATTGGGATCCGGCAGTGCCAGTATTGGTGCATACAGGAGACTGTCTTTGACCCTGTCAAAAACCGACTGGTGTTTGGTGTTCCAACACCATTTCACATCCTTTTTAAGGAGATTGGAAAATGACCGTACCATTTCTGCGTAATTTACGCTGTACTTCTGCAAGTAGTTGGCGAGGCCAAGCCACTTACGCAAGTCCTTCTGGTCCTTTGGAACCGGCCAATCTACAATGGTCTTGACCTTAGCGGGATCCGCTCGAAGGCCACACTTCCTAATGAAGCACCCTAAAAGGGAATCTCTTCTGCGCTAAAGATGCACTTGTCTGCATTGGCGTTCAGCTTTGTTTGTGCGCATGCACTCGAGCACCGCTCTTGAATGGATGATGTGGGTCTCTTCATCCGTCCTCACGTGCTCCGCGCGACTGTGAACAAAAATGTCGTCAAAGTATGTCTGTGCATACGCCCTGTGGGGCCTGAACAACTGCGTCACAAGACGATTAAATGTTTGACAGTCCTTGGGGTATCACCAGCCACTCCTAGAGCATGCCGCTCAAAGTGCTCACCGCTGTCAGCGGAACTTCACTCGCTCTCATGAGCAAGTGGTAGTATCCATCTACCAAGTGGAGTGCATTGTACTTCGTAAATCTTACCATGTTGTTCTGAAGAACATCCTTTCTAGGAATCGGCGTCTGTGCCGGATTGGTGGCAGCGTTGAGCTTATTGTAAGCATGAACGAC